CCTTGGTTTGTTGCCAAGTGATGGAAAAATCTTTTTTTAAACCTTTGCTTGGGGTGATACCTTGCTTGTATAAATAAAGTCTGTCTGAAGTCAGAGAATGGAACTTGCCACTAGCTAACCATAGAGATCTGGAGGTCTGTACAGACAGACAAGAAGAGGATGGCTGCACAGAGAGGGGATATAAATGGGCAGAAACAGGAACTCCCACTCTTGTCTGCTGAGATGCTAGGGAGATAAGGTGTGGCTGTGGCTTGCTCCTTCTCTCTGATGTCTCAGCATTTTCCTCTATATCTGACTTTGAGTTTTTATTTAGATCCATTAGGAACTCCCTTTACATTTGGTATTGACATGGTGGGGGGGTTGTTTGTTTTTTTATGGAATTGTAAGGCCTGTAACACATTTCCTATCAATAGTTGATCAATTTCTTCATTGCCTGTGCTACAGGGACTGGCAGACCAGTATGGGATCAGATGTATGTATATGGGATGATTCCTGTTCCTAATCAGGTCTTGTAGGTGAACAAATAATAAAGTCAATCCTGTATAATCTTTCATACATTCAGCAGTTTCAATACACAAAACAACTCTTTCTATATATTGGGAATTGATAACTATGTTACCAGGTCCATGAAATTCGTTAATATCATGAGAATTGTAGTGATATATTACTTATGATTTATTGTAGCTTGACTGAGGACTCAAGCAAAGTCAGCCACAAGCCATAGAAGCTAGGCAACACCTTTAATCCCAGCAGCAATAAACTAGGAGGAGGTGGTACATACTGCCTCAGAATTTATCTCTGTGAGTCCAAGGCCACCCAGATCTACACAAGAGTGAATCAGTCTAAAAGAGAATTATATCCCACACCTTTAATCCCAACAGTAGGGAAGTATATAAGACAGAAGCAGGCTCTCAGTAGAGGCATTCATTCTCCAATCACACTGAAAATAGGAGCATTTGTTCTCTATCCACACTGAGGAGAGGCAGCAGTTTCAGATTGGTGAAGAGCTCATGTGTGGATCAGTCCTTTCAGCCTGAGCTAGAGGTGAGAGCTAGTGGTTAGCTCTTTTTCTTTTCTGATATTCAGATTGAAGTTTGAACCCGAATATCAGTTTCTGGGCCATTTATTAATTCACATTACATATCAGTGTCCAATATGAAAGTACAAATTCATGAAAAAGCTTCTTTTGAGGTCAAGGACCCAGCCCAAGCCTGAGTCTGATGGGGAAGTCCTGTTGGCCAATAGGGAAGCAAGCTAGGTGGGACTAGGAGTCAAGGAGGATTCTGGGAAAGAGAGACACAAGCAGACACCATGTAGGCCACCAGAGTAAGAGGTCTGGACCCTTTTCTCTGGTAAGAGAAATACTTAGATTAACAATTATGGGTTAAATACTTAAGTCAGAGCTATCCAGTAAGAAACCAAGCAAACGGCCAACAGCTTAATAATTAATATAGTGTCTTGTGTGTTATTTGGGGGTTCAGACAACGCAGCAGGGCCCAGGCAGATGGCAGGGAAGACTACACTCTACATGAGTCCCTGACCAACCAGCTAGGTTTTCTTTTCTCTTCAAATCTTTGAGCAAGTGTGGGATTATTTTGGTTGTAACATTTCTGAACAGTCTTCAACTGCCACCCAAACTCAGGAGGCTTTCAGGCTTTTCCTATAGCCCTTCTCCTTGGGCAGAAACTCTCAGCTCACTGCCACGAGCTAGTTTTTCGATTCAGACATGCTACACCTCACAGTTCACTGACATTGTCAGCAGGTTTGGTAAGTTAATTAAGAATTCCTCAATTGAAAGGATTAGTTTAAAAAAGAGAATTTTTCCTCAACACTAAAAAATGGAAAACATTATTAAAATGAAGAAAATTAGGTCTGCATATGTTATGGGATTTCCCACCAGCCTGGTCCTACAACCATGTCAGTCCCAAATAAACTTGTAGATGCTATATTAATTATAACACTGTTGGATGGTGGCTTCGGCTTCTTTTTTTTTTTTTTTTTTGGTTTTTGGTTTTTACGAGACAGGGTTTCTCTGTATTGTTTCGGAGGCTATCAGTCCAGCCTGGCCTCGAACGCACAAAGATCTGCCTGCCTCTGCCTCCCGAGTGCTGGGATTAAAGGCGTGCGCCACCACCGCCCGGCTGCGCCACCACCGCGGCTTCGGCTTCTTATTGGCTAGCTCTGTCTTTATTACTAACCCATAACTACTAAGGTGGTCTTATCTTGCCAGAGAACGCCTGACTCTTGTCCCTTCTTCCCAGGCTCACATGACGACTCCTGTCTGCCTACATGTCCCAGAATTCTCCTCTCCTCCTAGTCCTGCCTATCTTCCTGCCTGCCCAATCAGTGTTTTATCCAACAACCAATAAGAGATCATATACAGAATAACATCTCCCATCATGCACATGATTACACAATGTACAGCTTAATAATGGAACATGAAGGGATAGTGAACTTAACTGGGATTGAGATACTATTGTCCTTGTGATAATCTTTGTTGCTGTTTGATAATTCTTGGTTTATCTCTAAAAATGTTGGTTGATATGATTGCTAAAATGCATGCCTTAGCAAAACTTATTAAAGGAGATTATAGAAATATTCAAACCCAGACTGAGAAATTAAATGGGGAAACAAATTCAGCATTGCATTTTAAGGTTAAAAGTGAACACTCTAAGGTCTTAAGAGAGCCACCTTTAATATATCCAGTAACCTTACAGAAAGTGCCAAATGAAGGAGATTCTATAATAACTACTTGGAAGCCTGTGACAATGTTATATATATAGGGAAATCGAGAAAGCTGTAGTCTCATGTGGCATCCATTCACCATTTGAGAAGCAGATGATAAACAGGTGGTCTGTTTGTAAAAGGGTTATCCCTATAGATTGGACAGATTTGATTAAAGCTGTCCTAGAGCCTGGACCACAATTACAATGGCTAAGAATATTGAACAAAAGTCTAAGTCTAGACCCATAGATATCTCCCAAGATCAAATTCTTGGAGAAGGAAATTATGCTGCTTTAGAAAGGCAATATCAATATGACGATCATCTCATGGGTTTAATCCATGCAACAGCTTTGAATGCTTGGGACAGATTGGAGAAGCAGGAAAGAAAATTGAGTCATTTACAAATGTCACACAGAGCCCAAAGGAAGCATTCATGAACTTCCTATAAAGATTGTCATTAGCGATAAATCAAATAACAGACTCAATGCTAGAAAAATAATAATTGGCTTTTGAAGATGCTAATGCCCAATGCAAAAGGACAGTTAGGCCTTTAAAGGCAAAATCAGCACCTTTGGAGGATTGGATCCGAGATACAATTAATGTTGAAACTCATAATGATGAGGAATGGATAGGAGAAGTGATTTCAAAAGGTTTAAAGAAAAATCAAAATGTCAAATGCTTTAATTGTGGTACATAAGGTCACCTGAAAAGGCATTGTAAACAAAGTGTTTCAAGAATCAATTTTTTTATAAATATAATTCAAACAGAATGCCGCTCCATTCAGGATTATGTAAAAGATGTGGCAAAGGAAGACATTGGACAAAGGAATGTAGGTTGACAAGGGATTATCAAGGTAATCCTTTGCCTTCAGGAAATGCTTTGAGGGACATTTCAAAAGTTCCTATATCAAAACAGGTTCATTCATTTCCTGCAACTGTAGATGAAGCTCCTTCCCAGAACAATAAATAACCTAATGTGTATTGAAAGAAAGCATATTGTTCTGAATTAAAAAAGAGTTTTAGAAGCTCAAATAAAAAATTTAGAAGTCATAGATAGATCGAAATTGATAAGGATTAGATTGGGAACCTCCCCAAAGTTAGTGTTGGAGAAGGGTTTTGTTTTCGTTTTCTTTCCAGGAAAATAAAAACAACCAACTTAAAGAATTATAGACCTTTGGACAAATAAGCATCCAAAGAAGAAGGGAGAATTACCCAGAAAAAAATTACCAAGAAAAGAAATAATATGACCTAATGTGATCTCTTAAATCCCCCAAAAGAAGATTGAATCCAAGCTGGGTTGGAGGTTACACACACCTTTAATCCCACCACTTGGGAGAAAGAGGAAGGTGGATCTCAGTGAGTTTGAGACCAGCCTGATCTAAAAGTGAGTTTCAAGACAGCCAGGACTTTTAACACAGAAAACCTCTGTCTCAAAAACAAAACAAAGAAAAGAAGATGGGACCCCACAACAATTTCACCAGGACTATGACAACACTGTTAAGCTGAATAATAACAACTAAAGATCAGCTTTGGACTACAAACTGCTCAGAACTATTTTGAGGAGGTCAACTGATGATCCAGCCTCACAGACACTGCTCAGAACAATTTAGAGGTGATTAACTGAGACGATCCAGCCTCACAGACTACTCTAGCCAGGACTTGAGACAAGTCCTGCACTTTCCCATGATGCAGAGACTGCACTACAAATAACAGTTTGACAGTTAACCCAACATCTTCTTTTGAGGATCCCATAATGATGCCGTCACCCCAAGACAGCAGGAAGTAACTTTAAGAACATTACTCCCACATTTCCCAAGAGGTGGGATGGGTTTTTGGCTGTTTGTTGGGTTTGTTTGTTTGTTTGTTTGTTTGTTTGTTTGTTTTGTCATTCAATGGGTTACGGGTATTTGTTATCGTTTAGGGAGACTGGTTACAAAATGTTGGTGGTTAAGGTCAAGAAGAAAGTTGAACAAAGGCATTAGATTCAAGGTTTTTGAAAAAGAAAGGGGATGCAGATATTATAGGATAAAAGGATAGAGTATTGAATCTACTCTGAAAAGAAAAAAGGGAAGATATAGATGTGATAAGAAGGTAGATAATTGAATCTATTTCTAAAAGAACAGATATGATGAGATACAAATGTGGGTTATTGAATCTATGTTTTTAAAAAGCAACTGCTAGTTTTAAATGTTTTACATTGGATTGGACTTCTGTATATTGTATATGTTATGCCAAGTTTGTGAGACCCCCAAAAAGACCACCAAGGAACCAACTCACTGATGCAAATGCATAAGCTTTAATGTTAAGTTATAAGCCTCAGCAGGGACCCTGCCCAGCAAACTGGCACAGCAGTTGCAGGAAAACGGTGCCTAGCCTCAGTTGCAAGGGTTTTTTAAAGGAAAAAAACCATAAGCAGGGTGGTAGTGCCTTGACTGTTCAGGATTAGATAAGAGTAGGTGACCTGGACTCATTGACGTGAGGGCTAGGGGAATTCATATTTTGGCAGTACAACCTGTGATCTTACATATTTTCATTGGTGGTCATTGGGAGGGAACATTCTATGGTTTCGGGGTTGTACTGTGACCTTTTCACTTCCCAAAAGTGGTCTGGGTTCTATATTCCTTGGAACATGGTGGAACTAGGTATCTCGGAGGTCAAGGTGGAGTTGCTCTACTCTGAAAAAGTTGCTGAGGTTTATTTGATTTTTAACTCTTTCATTCACTCCTCTTTTATACGCATAACCCAATCATGGGCTACAGAAATTTAATTTATAGTCTTGTCTACAGTTCTGTGACCTTTGTACCGTAAGTTGAATAGTACCTAATGGATCTTTTATAAATTGGACCAATTTATTTAAAATACAGGGGCCAAAAGTTTTCTTTTGACTTAGCATTTCGACCAGGGAAAAGGGACGCTGTATTCTTTTCTATGACTGCTTCCTGCTGAAATGCTAGTCAAAAGCAAAAAGGGGATTTACGCAAAGGGGTATTTATCAGAAGCATCTAGCTCACAGACTATTGAAGAGACAGGGAGTGTTGACATCAGCTGGACTGGACTACATCTGCAGCAAGTCCAGAGTTCACAGTCTTTTGGAGCTGGCTGTAATCAGCAGCTGATGCTTGGATATGTCTGTCAGAAGCAGAAACCTATTGAGACATGTTCAAACCAGGAAGAGAAGTTAAAACTTACATACTCAATCAGAACTATTAGGCCCATAGTTTCAGTAATCAAGAAGGACAGGAGTCCCAAGACCAGGAGAGAACATTCCGTCCTCAGGAACAGACAGGTGAGACAACATAGGCTATACTTATCTGAGGTCCTTTGACCTGTGAGAAGAGGATCCATGCTTTATGACTTTTGATCCTCTGAAGCCAATATGAACTTTATTATACAAAAGGATATAAAAATTTTAGATATATTAGCATTACCAATCTGTACTAAAATCCATATTTTAGAAAGAGAGAATATTGGGTATCTGTAAAACAGCAGGAATAGACTCATACCTTTGAGTCCTAGCAAAAACTATAGATTTGCACATTTTTTCTTCTGTTTAGAGAAGTCCAGGTATATATTGGACAGAGATGCCCTTGGCCTGATGAAAAGCCCTTTAAGCTTATACTTAGATGGCAACCAAAATTAATCCAAATTCTTGAGCTTGTGACTGGACAGCAGGTAGTCCCTGCTCTGTCAACTTATCAGAAATTTATTAAATGTTAAGCTCTGAACTTTTACATTATAAAAGGAAAAACAATTTAAAACCATGTTTATATCTTAAATTATTTTTATATCTTTAAAACTTATATGTTCTTACATCCTTAGGTTTTTATTTATGAGCCATATCAAGGCTTGATTTTAATATATATATAAAATGAGCTACCAAGCTGGCTATAGGCTTGCAGAAGAATCTGGCTGTCTGATGCTGCCAAACTGACAAAGTCATAGCTATCCCAACCATCAATATTATCAGAGATATGAGAAGGATAAATTTTATACATTTTATGCAGTTTTTGAATCTATTAAAAAATGACAGGGACCAGTCCACATCGAGTTAGTCATACCCAAGTCTCCTTAGTGCTGGAGGCACAAGTATCAGGAGAACAGCATGTATCTTCTCCAGGCACATAAAGTGAGAGGTTTCTATTTCTTTGTGGAAGGGGCACATGGGAAAGACTGACCTTATTTTGTCAGGCAAAAGTGGTGCAATCAATTTTCCAGTGTCCTGCAGCTTGTCCACAATCTAGGCCGGGTCCTGGCAGCAAGTGTTGTATTGGGGCATATTGCCCACTGGTCAGCATCATCATAATCCAGGTGTAGGCATTGTGGTGCCCCATAATCTTCTTTGGAGACCGTGAGTCACTTTCAGGATCTGGGAGTATCTGTCTGATATTATAGGCTTTTAAGTTAACATTTTGAATGCCATATTCTGTAGATCTCTGTAGTATTAAGAGTGCTGCCTAGGTAAATCTGAATAGACAACTTTATTTCCAGTTACTTGTTTTGACCTTAATTTTTGAAAACATATACAGGGGACTAAATAAGGTTTATTCCTGTAATTAATTACATAAGTACTTAGCATGACTACAATTAACAAACTTGATCATTTATAAGGATGACTATAAACTTCTATTTATTAACATTTTACAATATAGTAGTTTAGCAGCTTTTATAAGACTAGGACTTCACACTGTCAGGGTTAGCTTTAATGCTTTGACTTTTAAAGGAGTTTCCCATGTTGTGGTGATCCCTGTTTTCCTGTTGTTACCAATGTAAACATCTGACGTGCAGGTGGTCCTAGGCTACTCTTATAAAAATGCTTTTTAACCCCCAAAGGGTTGAGACTCATGGGCTTAGAAGCTACTGCAAGTCCTTTTCCAGACTTAAGTCATTGCCTTACTGCATCAAAGAAATAAACATTCCAATTTCTGGTTAGCATATGGTGCTTATTGCTATGATCTTAATTTTTGGCTTTTTAAATGTAAATATTAGCAATAAAAACATTTTATAAGCACAAATATCCCATAACCTTATAAGTTTAATTTAAAATCTCTCAGTGTCTTTCTGTAATATCAAAACTAAAGTACCCTTTATGTCTTTAAAACCATTATTACCTGAGTGACTGTTAAATCATAAAACTTACGACTATACCAGAAAAAAGACAAAACTTTCTAACAAGAATACTCAATTTTAATAAATAAACAAAACTTTTTAACCAGAATTAACTTTATATTTCTAATTTTTAAAATTTAGTATTTATAGAAATGAGAAAACAGTAAACATAGTTTATATTTCCCTCTAACCTTTTATAACTTTTTACATATCTTTAGTTTATTTCTTTGATTTCCTTAGACATTCTTACTTTAGACAAATTTTTTTCTTTATTATTTTAGTCTCCTGCCTTTTTTTTTTCTTTTAGTCAACATAAAAACTTTTAGAGATACCTTAATAGAGGGAGCCATTATAGATTTAAGGAGCTATCTGGCACTAGTGAGATTTCCAGAGATCTACAAGGGTAACACCAACTGGCAATCTAAGCAATAGTGGGGAGACTACCTTAAATGCCCTTCCCCAATGATGAGATTGACGACTACCTTATATGTCATCCTAGAGCCTGAGTGGCTGATGGAAGCAGAGGCAGACACCCACAGCTAAACACTGAACTGAACTCCTGGAAACCAGTTGCAGAGAGGAGGAGTGATAAGCAAAGGGGTCAAGACCTGGCTGGTGAAACCCACAGAGACAGCTGACCTGAACAAGGAGAGCTCATGGACCCCAGACTTATGGCTGAGAGACCAGCATGGGACTGATCCAGACCCCTGAACGTGGGTGTCAGTGAGGAGGCCTCGGCAATTTATGGGGCCTCAGGTAGTAGATCAGTATTTATCCCTGATGTACAAATAGACTTGGGTAGCACATTCCACATGAAGGGATGCTTTCTCAGACTGGACACAAGTTGGAGGACCTAGATCCTGCCCTGGATGATATGACAGAATTTGAAGATTCCCCCATGGGAGGGGGGAGGTAGGGGGGTTGGGGAAGGAATAGGGAGTTGGGACTGACATGTTAAGCAAGCTTGTTTCTAATTTTAAAATAAATAAATAAACACAAAAAAACTTTTACCAAAGTCCTTATTGTGGTTTTAATAACTTAAATTTGTATTTACATATTAAAACCTATACCTGCATGAAGCATCTTAAATGATGACAAGTAAATGTAACCTATTAGATTTAAATGACTAAAGTCCATATATTTTTCTTTTCTTGTGGAAACAAAAGCATAATTTTTTCCAAACATAATGTATCTTTGACTTCTATTCTAAAGTCAAAGCTTCCCACAGTATACAGTCTGGCATGATTTAACATTTTTGTTTTCTAAGCAGAATCAGGGCAGAGAAGAGTTAAGGTGGGGAGTTGCTGGCCAGCAGAGGAGACCTTGGCTGTTACCACGGTGAAGAATAGTTTGGCCTTGGGAGGGAAGGGCGGGTGAGCATCGCTGCTTGGCATAGAGTGTCCTTGGCTGCCAGTGTTTCTGAAAGAAAAAAAATGTTTTTAACTTCTCCAGCCACAACCCCAGACTGTCTGTTTCATGTCCTTCCAATGAGTCAGGCAGAGCCCATTGGAAGGCATCGGGGAGGAAGGTGTCTGTTCCATGTTAGGTTGAGTCCGATCAATGTCAGTACTGTCAGTACCAACAAGACAAGACAGACAAACAAACAAACACAGAATTTAGACAAAAGGGAGGGCCCATCTCAAAGGCTTACAAGTTTTAAATTTACAAACGGGAGGCAAACTCCCCAGTAGTTATTTAAATTCAAATGGTGGATTAATCTGAGCTTTAGCCGGATTTCCACCCAAATTTAGCCTGACAGGATAGCCCCCAGCAGGCTCCCGTCCAAATGAGGAAGGGGAACATCTTCTGACCCTTCCTCCATATCTGACCTTCTAGGCAGGTCTGCCAAGGTCTTCTTGATCTGTTTCTTACAGTTTAAATTGCCTGCTAGCAAACCAAAAACAGAAAAGAACAAAATCACAGAAACATGACAAACACAGAACACTTACTCGACCGGTGGGGAATTAAACCTTCAGGGTCCGAGGTCCTTGGGGTTCTTGGGAATCCCAGGCAAGACGCCGTATGTTATGCCAAGTTCGTGAGAACCCAAAAACACCACCAAACAGCTGACTCACTGATGCAAATGAATAAGCTTTAATGTTAAGTTACAAGCCTCGGCAGGGACGTGTTGAGCACACTGGCACAGCAGTTGCAGCAAAAGGTTGCCCAGCCTCAATTGCAAGGGGCTTTTAAAGGGAAAAAAACGCAAGAAGGGTGGTACAGCCTTGGCTGTTCAGGATTGGATAAGAGTAGATGACCTTTGGATTCATTGACGTGGGGGCTCGGGGAATTCATATTTTTGTTGGTTGTCATGAGGAGGGAACATTCTTTGGTTTGGGGGTCACATTGTGACCTTTTCACTTTTCCCAAAAGTGTTTTTTTCTAAATTCCTTGGAACATGGTGGAACTGGGTAACTTGGAGGTCAAGGTGGAGTTGCTCTATGCTGAAAAAGTTGCTGATTTTTAACCCTTTCAGTATACAAATATTGTATATTGACACAAGTTTAAGATTAATTTGTTAAGACATTTTGTATGTTTCTAAGGTAATGTTCAAGGTATTGTACTTATTCAGCTCATTTGTCAATATAATGTAAATTTCTAGTCCTTGAAAGTTATTATTACCAACTGTAAAAGATAATGCAAAAATGTAGGTTAGTAATTAGTCACCTACTACAATTGAACTTGTAATCATATTAGACATGTTTTCAAGGTCAAACAGATATATTTTAGATACATAGGTTGTCTTCAAACACTTCAGAGATCTACAGAATATGGCATTCAAAATGTTTTAATAACATAGGTTATTTTTTATGACAATGAGATATGTCTGCTCTTGACAGCACCAAACTACTTAAGAGGAAGATGGTGGACATTAAAGGAACCCACATGGAGTTTACTTTCTTTGTGGCAAAGGTAAGCCACTGGGTAAAAAAGTGCCCTTGCATCAACTGTTGACAGCATGCTGTCCAAAATGGACCAATAAAACACCAAAGAGAGTGAGTGCAAAACCTTGCCAAGACAAAACAGGGCAGTCCTTCAAAATTCTACTTCACAGAAAAGTCTGTCAGAGATGCTAAGTAAGCCTATAGACCAAAGATTGATGCCCCAGTGTTGCAGAGAAATGGGTGACTGTCCAGGCAACCAGCTATTTTGTCATTTCTCTCATTTTTTTGGAAGTTGCTTCATTGCTCTTCCTGTTTACTCAGTTAATATTATTTCCTGCCGGGCGTTGGTGGTTCACGCCTTTAATCCCAGCACTCGGGAGGCAGAGGCAGGAAGATCTCTGTGAGTTCGAGGCCAGCCTGGTCTACAGAGAAAGTTCCAGGACAGCCTCCAAAACAATACAGAGAAATCCTGTTTCAAAAAAACCCAAAAAAGAAATATATATTTCCTTCTTAGGTCTCTGAGGGAGTTAAAGACTAGATAGTATAGTTATAGTTTTCATTGTTTACCAGACTCAGAAAAGACACTCACTAAAGATGTGTAACCTGTAATGGTTTGAGAGACATTAAAAGATAATTTGATAATGCAGATTAGAATAGGAAATAAATCAAGAACAAAACATCGGATGCTCCAATTTAGGATAGATAATAAAGTAGCTTCTCTGAATTGTTAAATGCAAATGGACTAGATATTTTCTCTGAACTTGTAAATGGGCCAGATATTTTCTCTGAATTTATCAAATGCAAATGGCACTATGTCCTTTAATTGCTCTGGGGGAAGGGGGAGTTTCCCTCATGGTGACGGGGAATGAATGAACCAAATTTAACATGGGAGCCTGTGAGAGGCCACCAAGGTGTTTCCCAGTGATAAAAGGTTGTCTCACCTGTCCTTTGTTGATCTGCATTCAGATGTCCTGTGTCAGCCTTCGACACACCTTCTGCATACTCCAGAAGTTTGGGACCTTCTGTCTGGGTTATCTCTGGGAGAGACATTGTTTCTAGGAATGGCCTGCCTACAACTCCTTTTTCATTGACCTTGTTTACCACAATTAAAACATTTGACATTTTGATTTTTCCTTAAGCCTTTGGAAATCACCTCTCCTATCTAAGCATCATCATGGTTATAACACTCAATATTGACTGTGTGTGGGATCCATTCCTCTATGGGTATTGATCTTATCCTTAAGGGCATAAACACCCTTCTGCACTGTGAATTAGCATTTTCAAAAGCCAACGATTCAGTTAATATTGATTAGACTTCTGAAACTGATGTCATTCTATTTATAGCTGAAGTCAATCTTTGCAAAAATTTAGTGAAGGCTTCTTTGGGGCCTTGTATAGCTGTAATAAATGTTCAATCCTCTTTCCTGATTCTTGCATTGTGTCTCAGGCCTTTAAGGCTGCTGTATAGCATAGGGACAAGTTATGATCATCAAATATGTCTTGACTATTCACATCAGCATAACTACTCTCACCAAGGATTTTATCTTGACAAATCTTATAACCTCTAACCCTACCTTGCTGTTGGAGGGCCTTCACATCTTCTCTCTACCAACTGTTCCATTCCACCTGAGGACCATATTCCAATACTGCTGTAACTAACTCTTTCCAGTCTTTTGGAGTAATTTTATTCTGAATGGACCATGTACTCAACATCTGCCTCACATAAGGTGAATGCCTACTATAGGAAACTATTGCTTCCCTAAATTTCCTTAAATCTAACATTTCTATAGGATCCCAATTAATTTCTGTATGACCTTGGGGATGGCTATTGTCTGGTGGTATTTATTAAATTGTAACTAAATAAAGGTTGTTTTTTGTATAACCTTGGGCCACTCCTTTCTAATTCCATGAGGTAATGAGGTTGGTTCTCCTCTGAATTCTTCTGTCTGTGCCTGAATGCTTTTATTATCACTTTTATATAAATTTTTCCAAGGCTTGTAATTTATCAGTAAAAGCTTTTTCTAAGACTTCTTCATTTTGAATAGTAATCTACTCCATGGTTTGGATCTCATCTATCAACCTCCTCCTCTCTTCACCAGTCAATATTTCTAAAGCTTTTATCTTGTCAGTCAAGATTATATTATTCTCCTTAGCAACCATTTGTAAGGCTTGCATATTACCAGTCACCTTCTTGTTCTCTTCACTGATAAAGATTTCTAAAGCCTTTATCTTGTAAGTCTAAACTGTATTATTCTCCTTAGTAATTATTTGTATGGCTTAAATACAACCAGCAGTAGATTTTTCTAAAGTCTGTATCTTTTCAGCCAATCTCTCATATTGTGAGCAGGGTCCTAATTCCCTGCATTGTGATATTCCCAATCATTGACCTGGGAAAGGTTTTAAGATTGTCTTTTCTTTTTTATTTTTTTTAGCTTAGCTTACCGTTTAAAGTTTCCCAAGGGACTTACCAGACTTTTGATCCTCAGAGAATTGGGCTGTGTAGATGTAGTGATGATATTTGACCAGCAGGTGGAAGGGACATACAGATGGCTGGGTCATGCCAAGATATTCAGATGTTGTGACAAGGTTTGACCAGCAGGTGGAGCAGGTACAACACTAAAGTACTCAGGTTCTGCATGTTGAGCCAATGTTCAAAGTGGCTAGACCAGACTAATGAGGAATCTAAAAACTGTGGCATCTGCTGCTCGTTTATGGTCTCGTGTGTGTGTGTGTGTGTGTGTGTGTGTGTGTGTGTGTGTGTGTGTGTGTGTGTGTGTGTAAGAAATACAAAGATACAGATGCTATCAATTTGAAAGTGAGTAGCACAGGAACAGTTCAAGGAAAGGGGAGGAAAGCAATATAATTCTATTTCAATAAAAAAACATATAATAAAAAGAAAGTCCCAGCCAGGAAGTGGTGGTGCACAGCTTTTATCCCAGCACTAAGGAGGCAGAAGCAGGTAGGTCTCTGTGAGTTCAAGGCCATGTGGTCTACACAGTGAGTTTCAGGACAGTCAGAGCTATACAGTGAGATCTTTCTCAGTAGAAAGGGCAGTAGCCTAGAGAAATGCCTCAACAGTTAAGAGCACTCACTATATTTACAGAGGATCGAGGTTCTGCCACACACACACACCAAAAGGGAGCTCACAGCAACCTTTAACTACAGTTTTAAGAATTCTGGCACCCTATTTTGACTTCTACAGACACTGAACACAGGCAGTGCATTTACATACCTGAAGACAAAACATTCACAGACATAAAAAATAAAAACAAATCTTTTACAGCAATAAAGTCAAAATATTACTCAATAATTAAAAAGCAAACAAAATTAGACAAGTGTATGAAAGGAAATAGTAAATAATATATGATTTAAAATATGGCTAAAATTGAAGTAAAAATGGAACCATAATGTCAAAAAAGGAAGGAAAGAAGAGAGAGACAGAAGGAAGGAACAAAGGAAAGAAAGACAGACAGGAAGGAAGACAGAGAAAGGAAGGAAGAAAGGAAGGGAGGAAGGAAGGAAGGAAGGAGGGAAGGAAGGAAGGAAGGGAAATAGTTTTAGAGTATTATCTTAAACACCACCAGTCTTGGCCCTGAAGGCAGAAGGGTCAGACTAACCTGTGGATCCATTCACTCTTGGGGTAAATTCTTTTGCTGAGTCTGTACAAGGTGAGAGTCTGATGTGTACCAGAGTCATCTTACCCCTAGGACTGTTCCTTCCTTGCACACTGGTGACCTTTCCTTCCCACACATAAATTGATGATCTTTGACCTGTATAGCAACAACAAGAAGATATCTGTAAGCCATATATATATATATATGTATATATATATATATTCAATGACAGGTTGATATTCACACACATAAGCAATTTAAATGACTCAACAGCAAGAAGAAGGCTGATGATTTGGGACTATATTTAACAATGTAATATTATTACTAACATGACAGCTTGGGCACAAACAAGAAAGGAAAGGTTATGGTTTAATTGTGATGTGTATGCACATCAAGTTGACAAGGATTCATTTTTTTGTTAACTTGACACAACACAGAGTTACATGGGAAGAGGGAACATTGAACTGAGAAGATACCTGTATCATATTGACAAGTCCATGGGACATTTCTTGATTAATGATTGATGTGGGAGGGCTGGCTTCAAACTCAAAGATCCACTTACCTCTGCTTCCCCAGTACCAGGATTAAAGGTGTGTACACCCACTGATGGGTTTATAATCTCAATTGCTTAAATTAGCAAGATGGTCTGTATCTGTCTACCATGGATTTATTGCAAAAGCCCCTTTCCTGCAGCCTAGCTTTCATGATCCCAGAAAACACTGTGCAAACATGTAAGTAGCACCTACATGTCAGTGGCAACCAACATCAGTCTAACTGAACATAAGGACCACTCAACTTGAGGGAGGGGAATCATGTCTGGTGTGTCTGGTGTGGTGATATTTTGTTTATGATCAAACAAATAAAGCTTCCTGAAGATCAGAATTCAAAGCTGGCTACACTAGTTAGCCATAGAGGCCAGGCTATAGTGGTACACTATAACTCTTACAATAACTCTTCCCGCCATCCTGGTCCCAATGTTGCATCAACCCAAATAACACACCATACACTATATTAATTATAAAGCTGTTGACCTTTGACTATGGTTTCTTACTGGCTATCTCTGACTTAATTATTAACCCATAACTACTAATCTATATATTTT